TGTGAAGCATCTCATAACATGGATGAAACTGGAGGACATTATGCTGAGTGAAATAAGTCAATCACAAAATGACAAATATTGTATGAGACCTCTATGGTAAAAACTCATGTGAAAGTTTACACACGAAAAGAAACAATCTTTGTTGGTTATGAGGGATGGGAGGGGTGGGTGGGGGAACTAAACAGACAAAGATAAGTGGTAACTTGGGTGAAGGGTAAGACAGTATACAATACTGGGGAAGCCAGCACAACTTGTCCAAGGAAAGGTCATGGAAGCTCCGTAGACACTTCCAAACTCCCTGAAGAAATGATCTGCTGGGCGGAGGGCTGGGGGGACCATGTCTCCGGGAACATCTGGCTCAACTGGCGTAACGTGGTTTATAAAGACAATGTTCTACATTCTACCTTGGTGAGTGGTGTCTGGGTCTTAAAAGCCTGTGATCAGCCATCTAAGCTACTCCACTGGTCTCACCCCTTTGGGATCAAGGGAGAATGAAGAGAATAAATATAAGGAAAAGATTAGTCCAAAGGACTAATGGACCACAGCTACCATGGCCTCCAGCAGACTGAGTCCAGGACAGCTAGATGGTGCCCGGCTACCACCACTGACTGCTCTGACCAGGATCACAATAGACGGTCCTGGACAGAGCTGAAAAAGGATGTAGAACAAAATTCTAACTCATAAAAAAAAGACAAGATCTACTGGCCTGACAGACTGGAGAAACCCCGAGAGTATGGCCATGGACTCCCTTTTAGCTCAGTGGTGAAGTCACTCCCGAAGTTCTCTATTCAGCGGTGGACTGGACTGCCTCATAAAACAAAATGGGACTAATGAGGCACAGCAGTCCAGGGACAAGGACTAGAAGGCAGGAGGAGATAGGATAGCTGGTGATAGGGAACCCAAGGTTTAGAAGGGACAGTGCTGACATGTTGTGGGGTTGTTAACCATTGTCATAGGGCACTATATGTACTAACTGTTAAATGAGAAACTATTTGTTCTGCAAACCTTCATCTAAGGTACAAAAAAATAGAAGTATCTATGTGAGCTCAAATTCACAAAAGCAACTCAAAGGTTTGATGGGAAGCCTGGGGGCAGTGAGTTGAAGATAACAGTGATGGAATAATCTGGAAAAGGATAGTGAGAATAGCGGCACAACTGGACGAATGTAATCGAAGTCAGTGAATTGTAAATGTAGAAACTTTTGAATGGTGTAACTTTGGCTATGTGTATTTTCACCAAAAAAAAAGGTCCTCCAAGGTCAAGAAGGGAGAGTGTTGACATGTCATGGGGTTGTTAACCAATGTCATAAAACAATATGTGTACTGACTATTTAATGAGAAACTATTTCTTCTGTAAACCTTCATCTAAAGTACAATTTAAAAAAAAAAAATCTCTTAGGTAAAGGGAAGGACAACACACAATACAGGGGAAGTCAGCACAACTGGGCTAAACCAAAAGCTAAGAAGTTTTCCTGAATACAACCAAAAACTTCAAGGGACAGAGTAGCAGGGGTGGAGGTCTGGAGACCATGGTTTCAGAGGACATCTAGGCCAACTGGCATAACAAAGTTTATTAAGAAAATGTTCTGCATTCCACTTTGGTGAGTGGCGTCTGGGGTCTTTAAGGCTAGCGAGTGGCCATCTAAGATATATCAACTGGTCCCAACCCACCTGGAGCAAAGGAGAATGAAGAACACCAAAGACACAAGGAAAATATTAGCCAGATATTCGACAGAAAGGGACACACAGGCTAGAGACTCCATAAGCCTGAGACTAGAAGAACCAGATGGTGCCTGGCTACCACCAAGGACCCTCCGACAGGGAACACAACAGAGTCCCTGATGGAAGAGGAGAAAAGTGGGATGCAGAACTCAAATTCTGTAGAAAGATCAGACTTAATGGCCTGAGACTGGAGGGACTCCGGAAGACACGGTCCCGGGACTCTCCGTTAGCCCAGAACTGAAACCATTCCCAAAAGCCAACTATTCAGACAAAGATTAGATTGGACTGTGGGACATAAAATGATACTTGTGAAGAGTGTACTTCTTAGCTTAAGTAGATACATGAGACTAAATGTGCAACTCCTGTCCGGAAGTGAGATGAGAAGGCAAAAAGGGACAGGAACTAGTTGAATGGACACAGGAAATCCGAAGTGGAAAGGAGGAGTGTGCGGTCACATTATAGGGACAGCAGCTAGGGTCGGATAGCGATGTGTGTACAAATTTTTGTATGAGAAACAGACTTGAACTGTAAACTTACACTTAAAGCGCATTTAAAAAAAAAAAAAATTCGATAAAGACCAGAATAGTTACATGATTTAAAAGTACCTCTCCACAAAACACTTATTATTTACAAAGTGGAAAAGGGTAACTTTACAGTGGCAAAGACCGGCAGAAAACACCTTCATCAAGCAATCCAAATGTGTACCACAGTGATGGGACAAACCAAAATTGTGCGCTGACAGGATGCAATGAAAAAAAAGCAGTGTTACTTTAGGGATATTCCTACCGAAGATGAAGGACTTGAATCTAATCATGAGAAAACATCAAACAAACGCAAACTGACGGACATGTGACAAAATAAGTAGCCTGTAATTTTCAAAAGTGTCAATGTAATGAAAGTCAAGAGAAAACTGTTGTAGAGTGACAGAGACTAAAGAGACATGACAACTAATGCAACACATGATTCTGATGGGATACTTCCACTATAAAAAATGGTACCGGGGTAATTGGAGAATAATGAACAGCGTCTGAGAATTATATGGTAGTAATGTATCAGTGTTAATTTCTTGATTTTGGTGGCTGTACTAGGAGGATTCAGAGATGATGGACCATCAGGTTGGCAACTTACTCTGAAATGGTTCAGGGAAAAAAGTTCTCTGTATTGTTCTTCCAACTTTTTTGTAACTTTGTAATTGGTTCAAAATAAAATACCTCAGCTAACCATCTCAGAGAGATACTGGGAAGTTTAAATGAAATTAGATATAAAAACATTTGAAAAAAGAGTCACAAGATGCAAAATACTATTTCTACAAAATCAAAATTGCATAGTTTCCTGTGAGTTATGATCATGGGCATATCAGATTGACAAATCATCTTTAGTCATGATTATCGACCATCTTTAATCCTAGATTTATATATTTCACTTCAATTCCAGAGATCAAGAGAACTAAGCCAATAAAACACTAAAGCTGATCATAATTAGCAAATTCTTCTACGTGGCCTGTGTCCCATACCTCTCCTCTTGAGGAGTCCTTACTCGGGGATGAAGATGATGAGTGAGGTGCAGCCACCAAAGAAGTAGCACCAATGGCTGCAGCTGGTGGGAGTTCTCTGTCTTCATTCCCTGGACGTCGGTTCCAGCTGGGGTCACTCATGGGTCGCCGGACAGAAGATACTATATCAGAGCTCCTGCTGCGAACTAGTCTCTCAGGGTAAGAATGCCTTTGCTTGAATGCCTCCATTTCAGATGGAGTTAAAATATGTGAACCAAAGTTTGGCAACCTGGCCTCATTTCCTCCCACAGCTCCTTCCAGGATTGGAGGATCCGGTGGTGGATGCGATGGCCTAGCATAGTGAACCTTTGGCCTTACCACAGCAGAAGCCCCTTGAACACAGAAAAAGAATTTTGCAACTGAGACACAAATGATCCAACAAAGGCATTAACAAAGGGTATTGGTTTCTTTCTTCTGCTCATGCCCAATACAAGAGTCAAAAAGTTCATTTCACTAGTTTACCTTCATGTGAAGACAGTGGATCAAACATGGCAAGCAGAGACTCTGACTGAGAAGGAGGAGAGGTCAGCTGATGGGCACCTGAAACAGAATATTAAACTGTGAAACCAACTCAGAACTTGCAGGGCTCAAGCATTTTTTGACAGCACTCTTTTTTTAATCAATTAGAACTTGAGGGGCATGCCAAAGGGGAAGAGAAAAAAAGAATCTAATAAATATCAAATTCTGATTACTTCAAATTCATTTTATGTTTTTAATCTACATACATGAATTTTAATTACATTTAAGTGGTCTAGATATGCACATGCCTATGACTTTTAATGGCCAAACAGTGCTACGGTTAATGCAAAGAGCACAGAGCCAGAAGACCTAAACCAACAAAATCTTCAGTCACAACTTCCCTGAGCCTCACCTTCCCCACCTATAAAAATAGGGGCAATACTACCTGCAAAAGGGGTATACATAAAAAGCTGGAAAATCTGGAATTCTAATATTGCTCTCATAAAATGATTCAATAATTAAAAAAAAAAAAAACTATAGCAAAAATGAATATTACATTATACCATGAAACAACTGTAACTGTTAAAGTACGAGACTTTAAGCTACAGAGTAAAAGATAGTGACTCCTTTAAACATATGATTAAACAACCAGGAATGGATGTACTAAAACAGGTAAATATACAGAGACTAAAACTTTCAAATATATAAAAAAAAACTGTTAAATCTAAACATTTTCAGTCTAAAGCTATCTTTTTTGATAATGAATGACAGTATATTGTCTTTTAATTTTTCTTTTGTTCTACATTTTCTGTTTAATTTCTTTCCTTTTTCAAAATCATAAAAATAGTGTATCACTCTGAAAGATAGTTTATAACAGCAGTTCTCAAAGTTTTGGTCTCAGGACACCTTTACACTATTCAAAATTATTGACCCTGAGAGCTTTCGTTTATTTGGCCATCTCCATTAATTACTGTTAGAAATTAAAACAAAAATTTAAAGTATCTGTTAATTTGTTAAAAAATAACAATAATAATCCCATTAAATGGTAACACAAATAACTTTTTAAAATGGAAAATAACTCTACTTTCCAAAACAAAAACTAATGGGAATTATGGCATTGTTTCACATTTTTGTAAATTCCATTAATGTATGGCTTAACAGAACACAGGTGGTTCTCATATCTGCTTTTGTATTCAATCTGTTGCCATAAATTGTCTTGGTTGAAGTACACAAAGAAAATCTGGCTTCACACAGTTATGTAGTTGGAACAGGGATGATATTTTAATAGCCTTTTCAGATAACTGTGAATATTACTCTTTAACACTACACTAAATCTTGATAAGTAGTAGTTTTTTAAAAGTTAGTTACAATGTGGAATCTGGAACCACATCAACGAACTTTTTGTTCTCTGTTACACTGAAATTAATTGGTCTATGGTGCACACTGAATGGATCTTTTACCCATGCATGATTTTATAACACTGATTGTCTGGAAAACACTGGTTCATCAGTTATGCAGATCTTCCAAATACTGACACATTTCATTACACAATACTGAAAAATCATATTCTTAAATATCACCACCAGTCTCACCAGAAAAGTCTTTAAATAACAGAAGCTGTCAAGCTCGTGGATACAAGTTTTCCAAAATTCTAATTTTTATTTGAAAGCTTAAATCTTATCATTGGCAACAAACTCTATGTTGTAAGTTGTTACCCTTGAAGTGACAGGCTCACTTTATTTATTTTTGAGAAAATGTCTGCCAAATGCCCAAGTCAGAATAACCATAGTTTGTCTACCAGTCGTTCTTTCAAGTAAAAATAGTGTTTCATGAGAAACAAACAAATAAAATGGCTAGTCAAGCTCACAACTCAGAAAATTATACAAGTGCTATTCCTTGAGACAGCTCATATTTTAGAATGCAGCAGAAATGTGTTAGGGGTACTTCCCATTTTTTCACACAGAATATTAAAAAGACGTGTACTCAAGGGTTGAGATGTAATTAAATTAATACTTTTTACTGTTTCATCAATGACGTTCATAACTTTTTTTTTTTTTAACTATAAGAATACAGTGACTACTAGTATAGTTTGGTGTCACTGCCTTGATTCATGCTTAAGGCCCCAGTAGTTTTACCCATTTTTGCTTGTGAACCATTAGTACAAATGTCAACACAGTGAAAATAGCCAACAGCCCCTCAGTAATGTTATGAAAATAGTTTTGACCTTGTACTTTCTTCCCTCGAAAGGGTCTTGAGGACCCTCAATGGTCCATAGATCACACTTTGAGAACTGCTGCTTTAGAATAGTTGTTCTCAACTGGGGGCAATTTTGCTCTCCCAGGGGACATTTGACAATATCTGGAGACATTTTAGGTTGTCACAACTGGGGGGGTGCTATTGTTAAAGAATAGGAATGATGTCGCTAACCATCCTATAGTGAACAGGACCAACCCCCACAACAAAGAATTACCTGGCCCAAAATGTCAACAATGTTGAGGCTGAGAAATCCTGGTTTAGAACAAACAAAAGTGTAAAAAAAAGACAAAGTACCTCAAAACCCAAGACCCAATATATGAAACCACTGTTAGCATTCTAGAGCCCTGGTGGCACAGTGGTTATCTACCAGCCACTCCTTGGAAACCCTATGGGGCAGTTCTATTCTGTCCTATGGGGTCACTACAGGGTCACTATGAGTCAGAATCAACTCGATGGTTTGGTTTTTTTGGTTAGCATTTTGGTATATTTTTCCAGTTCTTTTTCTTTTTTTTTATTGTACTTTAGATGAAAGTTTACAGAACAAATAGTTTATCATTAAACAGTACACATAGTGTTTTATGACACTGGTTAAGAACCCCACGACGTGTCAACACTCTCCCTTCTCAACCTTGGGTTCCCTATTACCAGCTTTCCTGTCCCCTCCTGCCTTCTAGTCCTTATCCCTGGGCTGTTGTGCCCCATTAGTCTCGTTTTGTTTTATGGGCCTCCAGTTCTTTTTCTACGTACAGGTTTTTAAGCATTTTATTATCTTGTATATAAAATTCTATAAAATTTTCCACTTAATATTATGTTCTAGGTAGTTCTTCAAGTTATTTCATATTCTTTAAAGCACTGAAAAAATAGCTATATAAACTCTAATGAGTAGTTACACCAAAATACACTTAATCATTCTATTTTTTAATTCTAAGTTGCTTCCAATTTTCTGCTAAGATAAACGTTACAAAGAATATCTTTGTACATAAGACTTTCCCCATACTTAGAACTGTTTCCTATAACTGATTCCAAGAAGTGCACTAAGTGGGCCAAATTTAGAACATTTAAGGCTTTAAATACATACTGCCAAATTATGCCCCAAGTTGCTATACCAACTGACATATCATCACCAACAATGTGTAAGAGTGCCATTTCTCCCATGGATCTGATCATTTTTTAAGAAGTCATTCTCATCTGCCCTTCTTACCATGGGTTACTTCATCCATGTCTGGACTAGTGACAGAATCTTTACCCCCAAAATCAGAGCTGCACTCAGATCTCAGGTCTTCAATCTTATTTGGAATATCCTCAGAGGTTGCACTTATGCCTTTAAAAAAAAACAGTAAAAAATAAACAGCAAGAACAAAAAAAATAACCACACAAAAAGTAAGTGAAGTTTGGAAAACTTTAAACACTCTCAAATTTTGGGTGTCTCAGTTCTATACTGGTGAGCTGTTTAGTGTTATATCTTTTATCCTACTATTGCTTAAACATACTTCATTTGGACAACATAATCAGAATTATCAAGTGATAACTAAATACAGTAGCAGAGGCTACCAAAAACAGGGAAAGTGTTGTAGAGGGAACAGACACAGACTGTTTGCCAATTACTTCAAAGGCTCTAAAATGTCACACATTAAGTTCTTATAGATTTAAGGTCCCATAGAAATAATTTTGTTTTCTGGAAATTACTCAACTCTCAAATAAAATATCTCTTTGCAGCAACTTTATAAATGGGGGTGGGGGAGGCAGCACACCTCAAATCCTTATTCCTTAAAACAAGACAGACATACCCGACACAACACTGAGGCCTGGTGTGCTGGGGCGGGAACTGACCTCCCTGACATCCGTATCATCAGATGTGCTACCCAGTCCAGAACAACTCTCCAGTTCTTGCAGACGCTCCTCCTGCTTTAGGTCTGGGGCCTCTAAATAGAAGATATGAGGTATCACATTAGTGATTCTGTTAGCATGCCAGAGTTTCAGCTTTTGTGACCCAGATGACAAAAGCTACCAGGGCATGAATGAAATCAGTGTTAAGTAGATTTATAAGTCTGGACCAGGTGCAAATTAATTAGATCAAGTGGTAATGGAGTCAAGATTGTGATTTCTATCCCAATATAGGCTAGTCCATTGTGCGCAGATGAATACACTGTTTCTAGATCATTAATCTCATAAAGTATGCTGTTGGTTAAAGTATAAACCGGACACTGCACAGAACAATACAGTACAGGATGGCATTAAATCAACCACTTCCTAAAAAAATAACTCCTATGCATGCTCCGTAGATGGTGAGCTAATCCCACTGTCTCTTTACATAAGGGTTATTAGCATTTAACTGACTGTTTTAACATTATAAAGTACAGACAAGGATCACTTAATTATTCTTGAGCCAAGTAAATCAGATAGAACATAATACAAATATATAGTTACTTATATCTGCATTCTAAGACTAAATGTCTTCAAAATCAAGAAAAAAGCAGAAATACAATACATACGAAAAAAACACAAAATACCTCAAAATACATTTATAATAATTGTGCACAAAAGAATTCTCAGGACTCCAAACTCTCGATTTCAACATTATTACAAAAATATATTAAACATCTTTTAAAGGGTCAAGTTCTTCTCTGCAATAAATCTAAACATGATTGATGGGCATCCAACCACTAAGTGTTTTAACTGTGTTGCTATTTCTATCCTGTGAAGACCCACATGGAACCCTAATGAGTTACTAACATTTGCTTCCAAAATAACTGAACACAGAGTCAGAAAGCACCTGCCAACTAAGCCTATGCCACTTAACACTGCATTTTTCTTAATGGATAGAAAATACCCTAAACTAATTTTCCATCTGAAATTCTCAGTAAGTGATTGCCTCACACTTGTCAAATGTGTACTTGACAAAATGTATATAAGATAGAAATTAGGATACCTTACATTTAAAACTTCTGTACAAATGAAAAAGCAAACAATGACGACGTACTAACCTGAGTCACTTGGCAATACCTCTACACTCCAAGCTTCGCTGGTTGTCTCTGATATGGTAGAACCAGTGCAGGGGTCAAGAAGCACTGACCCTGCACCTGGCAGGCACAGCAAACTGCCTAACATGTTCTCTGCTGCTGCACCTGTGTAACCGGTGGGGAGCAAAGAGTTAACAAAAGATCCTGATGGAAAGAGCAGTGACAACGGAGAGAGACCAAACACTAAGCTAAGAAAATCTTCTCTCTACTCCACACTCGAGAAAGAAGCCAAGGTTAAGAATAATTTCAATCAATAACACACTAAAAACACAAATTTTTTACTTTGGTCACAACCTCCTTTTCACCTCTGACTCTCCACAGAGAAAACACACATTATGAGGTCAAGTCATTTCAACTAACTTTCACCTTGGTTTTACAGCAAAGTTTATACGTGTCCCTAGTATCTTTCTAAAATTTATAGTCCTACAAGCATTAAGAGAAGCCCTTCTGGCACCGTGGTTAAAAGCACTCAGCTGCTAACCAAAAGGTCAGCAGTTCGAACCCACCAGCCACTCCATGGGAGAAAAACATGGCAGTTTGTTTCCATAAAAATTTACAGCCTTAGAAACCCTGTGGGGCAGTTCTACTCTGTCCTATAGGATCACTGTGAGTCAGAATCAGCTTGATGGCAATGGGGTTTGACTTTTAAAATTAAAAACACTCAGAGAGATTTAACCTGATTTAACCAGTTACACTGGCCAAATATGCTATCTTTCAGCACGTTAACCACATATTCAGAGCAATAAAACATATTTGCAGTAAAATATACACCTCCTCTAAAGCATTCATTCAACTGCAAATATACTTTATTTCTCAAATACAGCTACTGCCAGGAAAAATATTACTTTGACATCTGGAACAAAGTAATGCAAAACCAATTAAGAAATCTATTTACACTACTTAAAAATACAAATAGAAAGGCTTGAACATTATTGTACACTTGCATTAAAAATACTCAAACTCAGACTGTTCTACTATTTCTGATTAGGCTTAATAAAAAAATTCTACTTCACTGCATGAAGAGTTTTGGAAAAGAATTACTGGTAAAAGTTACCTTTTCAAGATATATCATGTACTAATTACAAATAATGTCTAGAATTTGCCTAAACATAATAGGGGGGAGGGGAGAAAAGGGTAGTGGGTGGAAGTAAAGATGAAATGGAACAGCCATGTATGTATATAACTGCTGAAGCTGAGTGTTGGGCAAAATCGGTTCATTATAGTATTCTCTCTTTTATTTGTTTGAAAATTTCCATGATTTAAAAAGAAAATTAAGGTGGTAGTTACAAAACTGTATAAACCTTTCAGTACTCACAGAACATTCTCCTAAAAAGGTTGTAAATTTTAATGTAAATTATACCTCAATAAACTTGACATTTAAAAAAATAACTGGCTACCCTTTGGAACAGAAATGATCCTTTCAGAGGTGAATTAATATTTCTAGGGAACTTCATATCATATTATTCCAAAAGGTGTTATAGCTATAACCTGTAAGAATTTTCATCTTAAGGTAAGGCACTCCGTCTCAAAAGGAGAATATGCTAATCACAGACAGACTAAGAACATACACTATACCCTGCAAACAAGACTGGACCAGAAGCTAACTCAAAACATTGGTTTTCCTTTCTTTTTCTTTTGTTTGGGGGGCAGGAGGGTTAAATGTAGAAAAGAAAAACACTATCTATATTTAAGTAAAAAAAAAAAAAGTACAAGAATGCCTTGCTACATAGTTACCACAGTTTCCCCATGAGTGTTAACACACACCACGTTTGTCAGAGCACTGAAGCTCCACCTCACGAAAGGTGAGCGGATATATCAATATCTAAACAGCAATCTTCCAAAGACATTAAACAGCAGTTACCTGCAATTTCCTGCAAGCGATCTTCATCAATGTTAGGGTCAAAGTCACTTCCCAAGACATCTGTACTCCAGGTCTCACTCACTGTTTCTGATATGTCCCTATCATCTGTTAGTCCCATCATGTCACGAATTTCAAACTTCCTTAGCTTATCATCAAGATTATCTTGGGTTGTGGCTGCCAAAAACAAAATTAAGAACTTTTAAAAATGTAGCATAGCCATAACTTTTTAATTGACTTTCAAGAGCTGTATGTTTTTGAATTTCAAGTTACATGTTTTATCATTAACACTGGACACTAAGTACTGAATTATTTCCTCATGGATGCATCCCTCTCTGAACTGAAGTCAGCATATGTACTCCCCCCTTATGGTAGATTAACTGGAGCTGTTGATGTAATCAATTGCCTCCCTATATCCACTTTGCAGGGTGACTTTGAAGGTCATCCCAATAACAGTTGGGATGTATCTCCCTTCTCTTTGAATCTGCACTGGCCCTGTGTCTTGCTTTGGTCAACAGGGTGAGGAGGAAGTGTACTACTTGTGAGTCTAGACCTCAAGAGCCCTTGTCAACTTCTGTTCTCTCTCACTCCTGCTTCTCCCATGAGAACAAGCCTAAATTAGCCTGTTGGAGAATGAGGAATCACCCGGAACAAAGTCAGGTCATCCTAGAAGAGCCAGCCCCCCCAGACCAGCTGACCCCCAGCCAAGTTTAGCAGATCTCCCTACCTGACCGCTGGTAACCACAGATATATGAATGAGCCCAGTCAAAATCAGAAGAATCACCCAACTGACCCATAGACGTGGGAGTAAAAACAGAAGTTTATTGTTTTAAGTCACTGATTTTTGGGGTGGTTTGTTATGTAGCATTATTGTGGCAGTAAATTAACTGATAAACCCATATTAAAGGAAAAAATAATAATTTTCAATTGACTTGGATACCTACCCCTTACCATTCTAGAGTTTTTCTCTCTTCCGTTGACCGGTGAGAAGCAGTCTGCAACTTGCCTCAATTCAGTTCTCAACCTAATGTTTCTCACAGTGTAGACTGCCAATCACGTACATCACAATTACCTAGACAGCTTGTTAAACAGGTGATATTCCTTCAACTTTTGTCTTAAATCAATATTATTTTAGGTTTCTCTGTTATCTGCAGCAAATTTAATCCTAACTGATACACTGATAAACCAATCCAGTAAAGCATTATTTTTATTCAAGCCATATACACTCCAAAGGCAATACTCTTTTCCTTTCTAAAAATGGGCTGAAATAGGATTTCCAGAAGTGAGACTCGAGAAATGGCATTTTAAAAAAACACCCTACGTAATTTTTATGCACACTAAAGTCTACTAGCGGAAAGGCTGGTGGTTCGAACTCTCCCAGAGTGGCCTTGGAAGACAGGCCTGGTGATCTGCTTCCAAAAGGTCAGTCTTAAATACCTATGGAGCAGTTCTACCCTGCACACAATTGGTTGCCATAAGTCGGAACCGACTCGATGGCAACTTACAACAACAAAGTCTAAGAATCACTGCCTCTAATCCTGTTGTCCGATTGAAGGCCACCAATGCTATTTAAATAAACAAATCCAAAGAACTTTTTCAAATTAATCTTCCTAAAGCACAGGAGGATATTATCTTCACCCCCTCATCCTCAGCTAACTAAAAACTTTTGACGACTTCAGGCTTACTACTAAAATACAGACTTCTCTCTACAACAGGGATCCACCAATTTTTTCAGTCCCTACCTCTCTCTCTGTTCCCGTAATTGATAGTTCCTGAATAAGTACTATGGTTTCCCACTTCTTTGATTTGGCTTATATTATTCCTTCATCTAGAATGACCTCCCTCCAGTTCTGCCAGCCCAATGCCAGCCAGTCATTAAACTAGTATTTCTTCCAATAAGCTTTCTGCTACATTTTCAACCACATGGATCTCTCACTCAAAACTGCCAAAGCACTTTTATAGCACTCTTCTAATAATTTGTGTACCATCTCCTCATTCTACTGTAAGTTCCTTGAGTCCTGAGTATTTATCTTTGCATCCCTTAAATATTAAATCATACAACTAAAATATCAAATATTACGGAATTTAAAGTAATATTTGTTAATTATTCCATGTAATTTAAGCCTAAACAATTCACTTACCAACTAAACACATTTTTAAGAACTGAAGGAACTATAAATAAATCAAGTTTAATGGTCTTTATATAGTTAAATATATTCCCTGACTGAATATAGCAAATTTACATGCAAGCACATTATTTTTCAGCCACGTAAATTATCTGCTACTTGAGCAACTGTGGTCAACTTCACTTTACCTTGTTCATGTTCTAATAGCTGTAGAGCTTCAACTCCATTACTCCCAGAAGGTCCCGCTCCAAGTTCTGATACAGACTCTCCTTCTAGGTCTAGAGAGGACACTGAATTGGAGCGATTTGAAGGACCTAGAGAAATGTTTTTCCTGTGAGTAATCGTTCTAAAACAGTGATGAGCCACCATACAATTTTTCATGCTTTGAAAAGAGCCCAAAGACTAATTAAAGTGCTTTTAACACTACATTTATGCCTTAAAAATATACGTCTGCACACCGCTAAGTAAAAGAAGACATTCTGAAACTATAAGACATTCTGAAAAAGGCAAAACCACAGAGACAGTGAAAAGATCAGTGGCTACCAAGGGTTCAGAGGGCAGGTGGGGAGGGATGAATAGGTGGAGCACAGGGCATTTTTAGAGCAGTGAAACTATTCTGTATGATACTGTAATGGTGGATACATGATTTTATGCACTTGTCAAAACTTATACAACTGCACAACAGAGTGACTTTAGTTAATGATAATGTATCAATATTAGTTAATGAACTGTATCAAATGTATCACACTAATGTAAGATGTGGGGCCCTGGTGGCACAGTGGTTAAGAACTCAGGCTGCTAACCAAAAGGCTGACAGTTCAAATCCACCAGCTTCTCCTAGGAAACCATATGGGGCAATTCTACTCTGTCCTATAAGGTTGCTATGAGTTGGAATCGACTCGACGACAACGGGTTTCGTTTGGTTTTTGGTTTAATGCGAGACGTTGTTAATAGGGGAAACTGTATATGAGGTGAAGGGAAAGGGAACATATGGAAGCTCTGTATATTCTGCACAATTTTCTGTAAACCTAAAACTGCTCTAAAAAATAAACTCTACTTAAAATATATATATGTGTGTATGTAAGTATGTGTGCGCACACACACATTCTTTGAACTAGTGATTCTGTTTCTAGGAATTTATCCTAAGGAAATACTTAAAAATTAATCTAAGTTGCTCACTGCAGAGTTTCTTACAATGTCTGAAAAGTAGAAGCAATCTAAATGTTTAATCATAGAAAAATGATTAAATAAATTATGATATCTCCATGCGAGGATAAGGAAAACAGTCATTAAAAACCTTGTTATTTACGTTTGCTAAATTACCAAAGGAAATAATGTTATACTGTTAAATAAATCAAAGATTACAAAAAAGCATAAGCTGAATTTTGCTATAAATATACCAAAATGTTAACTGCTATTAACAGAATGGGGAGGTTACAGATAATTCAGTTTCTTTTCTACATTACTTAGAATGAAAAAATTTAGTTATGTGATTTTTTAAAAAATATTAGATAAAAGGAAAAGTTTTACGTTTATCTTTAAATGTCAGTAAACACAAACCTTTTTCATCAAAAAAAATGTGTCCTAGTACATGGAATGACATATTCTCACTTTACTCTTGGCTTTTAACTTTCTTTCCTACTCCTATTTTCAATGTTTGCTTCTGCTTCATAAAGGTGTGCATGAGAATGTGTGAAAAAAGAAATACAGAACATTAAAAACTATACACAACATTCTGAAATACTTGTGAGTCCATTTTTTTCCACTTTAAACATTCATTATATCCCTCTAAAGGAGCTCTATAAGCGTTGGTGTATATCAATTCTGGAGAAACAAAATCTACTGATATTCTATTTAAGTCTCAACAATGACTTATATCTTCTCCATTTTATAGCATCCAAGGTCTCTTACAATCTTAATTTTAGTCAAATAACAATCTTTACAGCCAACTGTTCAAGCTCATTAGAGGAAAACTTCATTACTCTCCTCAGTGAGAGGTGCAGATGGCATGATTATAATTTATAAGACTCCTTTAAAGAACATAAAACAAATATTACTTGAATTACACAACTCTTTGAATGAAGTAACCCTTCACCTTCAGATATTCCTTCCAGATTATCACTGCAGAGGGAAAAGCGCAAGGTTTTATCAGGTTTACCGTGGAGTTTGTTTTCATCGACAGGGACATCTCCTTGTCCTCCATCCGAAAGCTGCATATTTAGGACCTGAAAAACAAAATGCCAATTTTAGTTTATCACAACTGAAAGATTACTGGTTAGAAAATAAACCACAGTAAATCTGTATTTAAGTTCTTTTTAATCTTAAATGATCAGTTTTAACTAAAACCAATTTATAAGGTTCTGATCTAGCTTTTTAAGTATCCCTGGAATAAAAGAATATCAGTTAAAATAACTGAATCTATGCCTTTCCATTGACGTTCCAGTGTTAGGAAGTCCCTGGGCAGTGCAAATGGTTAACATGCTTGACTGCTAACAGAAAGGTTGGTGGTTTGAGACCACCCAGAGGTACATTATGCTGAGTGAAATAAGTCAGTCACAAAAGGATAAACATTATCTGATCCCACTTATATGAAATATCTAGAATATCAAGTATATAGAGATCAAATTTATTAGTGATTACCAGGGATGGGCAGGAAGGAGGGGGAAAGGAAGACAGAACTCTTGAGGGACAGTGAGCTTCTGTTAAGGATGATGGTAAAATTCAGAAACAGTTAATGGTGACCATTAAACAACATGATAAACATATGTTATGTCACTGAACTGTACATGTGAAGACCGTTGAAATTATATTCCAGAGCTCTGAAAAAGCTGATTCTGGTAGTTTTTACCAAATTACTCAATGCTTTTGTGGGTGTCACGATGGAGTTTTGGAGTTCCCTATCCACTATTCACTTTGAGAGTCCTCTTCCCTACTAGCCATACCACAGTCCCAAACACAGCTTTACCAACCACCATCACCACTTCATCAACCACTATAACTGGTTTCTTCTTCCCAAGCCAGGAATGAGTTTTCTTGAATAATAATAAATCACTGTTGAATACAAGATGCTGCTTCTTTTTTAGGAGGTCACAATCTATGAGAAGAGGCCCCCACTTTTAGATAATCAGGACTTCTTCTTTTGCCTCTGTCCCAACCTCTTCTGTTTATAAGTATCTCGAAACTGATTCCCATGCCCCCACTCATACTTCTTCAAAATATTTTACTTCTTAGTTTTCTTCTCAGTTATCTCTTCCATTTCCTCCTGACCAGCCAAAGAACAGAGAAGTATTTCCCAAGAAATTTTGGCACCCCCCCCTCCTCATCTGGGGTCTTAAACGCTAGCAAGCGGCCATCTAAGATGCATCAATCGGTCCCAACCCACCTGGAGTAAAGGAGAATGAAGAACACCAAAGACACAAGGAAAGTATTTGCCCAAGAGACAGAAAGGGCCACATAATCCAGAGACTCCATCAGGGTGAGACCAGAAGAACTAGATAGTGCCGAGCTACCACCAATGACTGCCCTGACAGGGAACACACAGAGGGTTCCTGACAGTGCAGGAGAAAAGTGGGGTGCAGAACTCAAATTCTAGTCAAAAGACCAGACTTAATGGTCTGAGCCTGAACAACCTCAGAAGACATGGTCCCTGGACTCTCTGTTAACCCAGAACTAAAACCATTCCCAAAGCCAACTCTTCAAAGAATAGACTGTACTATAAAACATAAAATGATACTTGTGAAGAGCACGCTTCTTAGCTCAAGTAGATACATGAGATTAAATGGGCAGCTCCTGTCCAGAGGTGAGATGAGAAGGCAGAGAGAGTCAGGAGCGGGCTGAAGGGACAAAGGAAATCAGGAGTGGAAAGGAGGAGTGTGCTGTCACAGTAGAGGGAGAGCAATCAGGGTCACATAACAATGTATAAATTTTTGTATGAGAAACCAACTGGAATTGTAAACTTTCACTTAAAGTACAATAATAAAATAAAAACCAATTTTAGCCCCTCCTAAAACAGGAATACGACTAGAAAGAAAATGAACACAAAACATTTCCTACAGGTCACTGGAACAATTCCTTCAATTTCCATAGCACAACTTCCTGGCTTTCTATCTCTTCTACTACTACTAGGAAAATTCCTTTTGGTGTGGACCTGCTCACCAGCTTCAGTGCCATAGGTGTATTAATGTAAAGGGCTTCCAGTACTGTTCACAGAGAGTTTAGTATTTGAGAGTATGGCATAGTAGGCTCCTTGAAGATAATGAAGAATATGCATTAAAGCATATTAATTTATAGAAGCAAGTGACCATTAATTAGAAAAGAAAAAAACATTCTAAATGTCTTAACATTGATGGCTACAAGTTAAATGCAACAATTCATTCATACCTCATTTTCTGACATCATCCCTGGAGTAAGCTGGGGACCTGTCCCTAAGGAAATGACCAGGACCTCTTCTGGTTGTACCTCCTGGATGGTTTCTTGAGATGATACTTCATGATCCATGTGCTGATCCATTAGCATATTGGTGCGGCTTCTACTCCGAGTTGCTAATAAAAAAATTTCAAATAAAATAATTTAGGGAAAAAGACAGAATGAAGAAAATGGCACACTAAATACAAAAACATATTTTCTATTAGTAAAAAACATTTGCGCATGCACAAAAAAAAGTGGTGAAAATGTGGATTAAAAAAAAAAAGACTAGATCTTCCCAGTTCCTCTACTGTTGGCTAATACGGATTCTTCTTCAAAACTGATAACCAGAAATAACGATCCAAGTCCACCTGACAGGGAACGCCACATAGATGATCATACCCGCAGAACAGCAAACACGTCCCTATCAATTTAAGACTTGGGGCAACAAGAAAAGCATCATCAGATTTCTTATATATTCCAATATCTTTCCTGTAAGATGATTTAACTGTCACAGATCTCCCATGTTAATTACCGAACTTATAAGCGCAAGAAAATTTCATGTGGAAATCTGATGGGCATGTAAATGTTAATTAGGCAACTGTTGACAAAGCCAAAATATGTTTTGAAACTCGTTTTTTCCTCTTGAAATTTATTAATCTCTTTCCATAGACGCAGAAGAATAGATTTCCCTATGTGTGAATATGAGGTCCTTTCTGCATTATGGAAGCACCCTAAATTAATAAAAGATCTAATGATTTCTGGTTTTTCCCTTCTCCTGTAAATAATATTTTTTTCTTGTTTCTAAAGATCCATCCTATAGATAAAGAATTTTTGGATACTAGTATCTTCTGAAGATTTCGTTAGTTTGTGACAATTTTCTCTGAGATTTTAGTCTTTTGTGTTAAGTTTCAATTTTCTTTCAGAGGACAATAAAATTCAATACAACTAGAATACTAAACAGAAATTATCTTTCAGTGCAGAATAATCAGAACTATAGGCATAAAGCAAAAATACTCTAGAGTAACAAAAGCTTTTCAACTTCACTTTGAGCAAAAGCTGACTTACTTCAAGACAAGACAAAAAGAATCAGAAATATAAATAACCATCTTCCCTCCACAATACTGTGGATCTATTCATTAATCAATTTTAGTTTCAACAGTCAGAACACGTACCAATTTACACATCTAAAATAAGCCCACTCCCACTTTTATTTGCTGGCCCTCACTATCTTCTACAGAACTGTGAACTTAAATTCAATTTCATGAATAGGTACATGAATCTTAAGTAACAAACTCTGTAACTCTATAAAAAATACAAGTAATCAAATTTTACATAGCAATTTACATAAAGCCAAAGCAACATGCACATGAAGCACAATTTTATAAACTATTTCTTACAGAAAAGTTACATAAGAAGAGGAAGAACAGCCTATTACCCACCAAACGGGGTTACTAGAGTAATATGAGCAGTAAGATTGGTGGTTGAGGAATCCCAGGCAGTAATGGCTGCTAACTGTTGTCCTGGGTTGCGAAAGCATTAAATAGAAAGAAAATCAACCCTTTGAACAATGGATACATTTTTAAAAATATGAAATAAACGCAATGACCAGGTCAAATGATTATACAAAATAATACTGAGTAAACATTTGAAATATACTTTCCATTAGAAACATATTTAATGACACTTCCAGATGACAGAAAATTAAAGAATATATAGCAGTGAAAAATGGGGGAAAAAAAATCTCTGGTATACCAAAAATCATTTATTTCTTCATGTTAACAGGTTGAGAATATCCTATAATACTGAAAAACCACTAAGCATGAAACGTTATTTTTTCTATTTTTAACTCTGAAAATTCACATTTTGGGATGATGAAAAACAAAGACTTGTAGTCCTGTGAGGCCACATTTCTGCTGATGATATAACTACATACTATATTAAATGTAAAGTAAATTAATTTTAAGAAACTGACAGTTCTTAATAAAGACGTTCATAGAAGCTGAAAACGAAATTCTCTTCTTCAAAATACAATAACTCCTCACATTCACTAACTGTTGCTGAGCTCCTAATTAAGAAACTGGCACTATACTACTCCTGCTCCCTTGACCTAAACACTCTCTCCCTGTCTTGTTTGCTTTGTCTAACTCCCATTCATCCTTCAAGAAAAATACAAGCTTCCCTTGCTCCAGGATCCTCCTGGTAAACCACTACCACCTGGCTAAGTTAGCTGTCCTCATATCCTCCTATATGCTTACCTCCATTAGAACACTTAGCACACTGAAAGCTACTGGTATCTTCCTGTTCTCCCCAATTAGACTATGAGCAACTAACTTGAGAGTAGGGGCATGTACTCATGGTTTTTATATTCTCAGTGTCTAACACAGTGCCTCACCTGCAAGATAATGATTATACCTACCCTCACAGGATTTTTGTGTGGATTAAATGAAACAACATTTATAAAGTGCCTACCAGTGTGTGGTATATAATATAGGCTCAATTAATTTTCTGCATATATATATATGTAGATAATAGATGTTTTAAAATTCTAACTGAACCTAAATCTTAAATAAATTAATGAATCTGACAAAATAAAATGACATTTCTACTTTATTTTATAACACTGAGATACTATAGTTCAGTTGATAAAAGATTAATAACAATGGAAAAATAGTAATTGTATTTTTCACTTTATTGATGGAAACTTCTAAAATAGTATTATTTCCTTATACTATTATTACTATAATATTATTTAGAAGTTTGTCAAAAGCAGAGGGCTACACAATTTTAAAAATTACTATAAGGAATGACATTTTCAAAATTTTCCAAGACTCTAAGATATAAACAAAGCATACTGTAAGTGACATGATTTCAATTACTAATAAGATATACGTCTAGATAAACTAAAGTCTACTGAAAAACCTTAACTAATGTGCTGGGATTCTTAAAAACTGAATTACCATTAGAAAGCCAGAAAAAGACTTCCAGATTATTAAAAACTATATTCTAAAACACTAAACAATAACAAAGGCTAATGAAAAATATTAAATTTAAGAGAAAGCCCCAGTATGAGAAATTCTCTTTACCTATAGGTAATCGATTCTTTTTATTTGCTGGAGTGGTTGCTGGAGACAGTTGAGGAGTATTGTAGGGAGTCATTTCCAAACTACTGCTTTTTCCTGGCTTGGCCTGGGGTAGATTTGCTAATAAATTGTCAAGAGCCATCCTATCTTCTCTCAGTTGATCTCCAGACATCACACTCTTCATAAAATTCACCTGACAAAGTGAAAGAATATTAGCTAACAAAATCAAATTTTCAAACTCAGTATGTATTTCTCACACAATGTACTCATCTATGACTCTGCCCATGCTTAACTAACTTCGGAGAAAATCTTATTAAAGAATAAAGACATTACCAGAGTAATAAGCTGACTATAGGTTATATAAACCACAGTTCTGCTCAACCCTTCCAGAAGATTAACAGAGGACATTGGAGGAGTCTCCACTGCACGGCCCCCAATGACAACATCAAGGAAAGCAGCAACACAACTCTGTTAAAAAAAAGGACAAGATCACAGTAAAATAATGGAACAAAACTTCTGATTAAGCTGGACATGCATGTAAAAAGTTTTACTTCCTGAAAACTCAATATTAGAAAAAAATTTAAACCTTTTATGTATTGATATAGAACAATTTCCAAGATACTCTGGTAAGTAAAATAAATATGATGCAGAGCAATGTGCACACTATCCTATCATTTGTGAACAGAGAGGGATGGGGTGAGTGGGAGAATACTTGTAGGAATTTGCTTATATATATACACATATATATATACATACATGTATGTATGTATGTGTACATTATGTATATACACATACATAATAGACCTCTGAAGGATACACAAAGCACAGATAACATCAAGCACCTTTTGAGAAGGAAATAAAGGCTGGAGATCAGAAATGGAAAGGAAACTTCACTGTATAACCTCTGAATTTTAAACCAGTTTGAATGGATTGCCTACTCAAAATACGATCAATTAAACTTTTATTTAATTGAACAATGCCATAAATGTTCACTTATGAAATACGCTTAAAATTATATAATTATTGCTGGTTCATATACCAACATATTTGATTTATTCATAATTTTTTAAATCAAACTTTTGAAAATAAAATAATCTTAACAGCTCTTTGATTCCCATTACAAAGGCATGTCCATAATCTTTCTATAAGTGAGAGTTAGAAATCTTTTGTGACTTCTTCCTTTAAATGTTGCTGATCCAACATAGTATCCGCTACAGCTACATAAAGGGTGAATGAAAAGAACTTTAATTAGTAAGTCACCTAAGAGTAGGATTTAATAAAGACAATAATTAAGTTCACTGATACTTTGGTAGAATTTTCTGTAAACAGTATTTCACATGGCATAGTATTAATTCTTACTTTGTCAAATTTCCCAAGGCTGCCTTTTGTCCGGGGGTCTCCCTCTTCAGAACCAGTCATTGCTAATTGCTGCAAAAGGCGGCCAACCTGCAACCCAAAACAGTGGTAGGGAGACACAGGCTGTAATACTTACAAATTTTTCTTCTATTCTAAAAATCTGTTTCACAATAATATTCACACTACCTACCAGACATGTAAAATAGAGACCCCAAAAAACATATAGACTATCTATGTCAGCTTTTACTATTTTTAGATTAAGACTTTAAATAGAAATTTTTGCTTTAATTTCTCTTTAACATACTGTATTGGCATTAGAAAATAAAAGGCAATTTGTCTCTAATATGGTTCTTTTCATGTGTTTACAATTTTTTAATTAATTTGTAAAAGCTGACTCACTCAAACTATTCCAAGCTAATATTACTTTTCCCTATATAGTTTATAAAGCACTCAAGGTAGAGTATTTTTCCTAAATTTAAAAGCAAACAATTCCTACAGAACACAAATTGTTTGGTAAAGTAAATACTAATTCTCAGAGCAAATTCTTTACTGCCAAAAGTAAACTGTTAATCCATTCTCTTTAAAAGCTCATTGCTGAAAGTTAATAGTATTATCTTCTTAATATCTGGGACAATTCCCCTTTTCACTCAGTTTGAAAATATACAATTCGACCTCCACTGGAATGACAAATAAAAACTACAAATACATCATAAAAATAAATTGAGTGTTTCACAGATGATAAAAAATTAAAACATTTATTTCAGGATTTCTATATAGTTAATCACTAAACATCCCAAGGAGATATAATGGATCATGAAAAACACTTAACGCTTAAAAAAAAATCATCCAAAGATGTAGTCTATTCTGAATAAACTCAGTCTCTTCTTCACAGTATTTCTGGAGGAAAAGATAGGATTAAAACATCTCCTTAAAAAATAATAACATGACTTCAGTAGTTCAGATGAGCATGAAATAAATGCTAATACAGATCTAAAAATCCTTCTGAAATTCGTATGTCCAAAAGTGTTTCAGATTTCGGAATTTGGAGATTTCAGAAAGGTAATTTAGTGCATATGTGTAACATGTCCAGTAGGGTGGCGCCCTGCAACCAAACACATTAACATTTCTGCAGCAAAGCATGCTATTCACTAGCATAAATGGAATAACTAACATTTATAAATAGCTTCATGTCAGGTTTTGATACCAAATAAGGTATGAAAGACACTCTCAGTTTTTAATCATTCTGGATTTTGAAATTATGGAAAAAGGACTGTGGACTAGTTCTAGAAAATCAATCAACTGTACATTCAGGTATGTGAGGATTCCATTTAAAAACTAAAATAAAATGTTCTATGACTATAATATTTTAAAATCTCAGTACATTTGCTTTTATTTCTTAAGAAACAAATATGTAGGACAGTTTGAGGAAAAAGAATGGTAGGAATATATGAATACCATTATCATATCTTATGTTCCCACCCCCCTGCCCAATTACCTGATTTTAAACTGAATGTCATATTAATAATAATAGCAACAGCATACCTGCATCAGATTAAATCTTGCCACCTCATTAATAGGAGCATCAGAAATTATTCCATACTGTTCTGGATTGACAACTGCAGGACAAATGAAGCAAGCCAGGAGGAGATCAGTACACATTGCCCTGACCTCCCCAACTTCCAGTCTATCTACACAGGAGAGGGTTTTGTACATCTGCGACACAATCCACCTCAAACTATGCGGAAAGCAGTATGTGTTCTGTTTGAGATAACCAATAAATTTGTTTACCAAAGCCACTAGTTTGGCCTCATTGGAATCCACCATCTCTTGAACCTTTTGCCTGAATCTATCTGAGCCCTTCTCTCCAAAGAGTTTTTCCTGTTGAGATGGGGAGAACCTCTCAATTAGCTTGTTTGGATCTGTTTCCAGGTGATCTTCATCTTCAACCAGCAGTTGCATGATTGGCTCATGTAACGTAGCTGTGAGGAAAAGTTTGGCAGAAAACAGTCCTTCAGAAAAAAGTTTAAATAAGATGCTGAAGGCACAAGTTCCTCTCCTCAAAAGTCGTCTGGGGTTGTCACTTTCTTTAAGTTCAAATTCAATCAAGTATCGCAAAACCTGAAGGAGGTAGCTTTCATCTTCTTGCATAATGCAGTTGCCATAGAGGGAGGTAAAGACTGTGTAAATAACACTTTGTGTGTTCTCCTGATTAAGTTTCTCTCCTGCAACTAAAGAGGAGGCAATAAGACGAGGATTTTCCCTTAATCGACTCAAGAACTCTCCATAAGCAGTCTCCTGAAATCCCAATTGCTTGTATCCATCAACAAACTGTGTATCTTCCAAAATCTTGGCATGTTGGCAACATTCTGCAGGGGAAGCTTCAGCACTAAAAAAAACAAACAAAAACCGAGCAAATAAGCTTAAATAGTATTAATGATAATACATGTATACCATATCAAAACATGGAAATGTGAGTTGATTACAGTCCGTCCCAGCAATTAGATCACTCTGAATTGCTAAAATTTTTTCAAACAACAGCATCTGAATGTATGAAGAAAGACAAAACCAAAAAGTATAAAAGAGGACAAATTCCTCATACTACATCAGGTTCAATGAAAAGTATCAATTTGTAGATCCTAACAACTATTGCTGAGAGCTGCACTCTTATGGATTATATTAAATAAAAATTAGCTACAGTTAAAAACTGCTCATTTATGGACACAAGAAAGTTTATAAATATTCAAGTACTAAAAAATAATTTAAACTAACTCCGTATCAGGTATATTAGTTCCACCTTTGTCAACAGCAACCTGCCAGTATGTAATAGATGTAAAATTATAATCCTTCAACCCAGGCTTTCTACTTCTGGTAACAAATCCTAACAAAATAAGCCCAAAGGGGGGAAAAAAACACAACTGTAACCATGTTCACAGCAGCAAATTATTTTTTTCTTTTTAACTCTTTTACTGAGATAAACATACAACAAAGTATACAAATCTCAAGTGTTCAGCTGATCAATCTTTACAAATGTATACACCCATGTAATCACCGCTCAGATTAAAACACAGAACATTTTCTCATTTTGATAAGTGGTGTCTGGGATCTTAAAAGCTAGCAAGCGGCCGTCTAAGATTCATCAATTGGTCCCAACCCACCTGGAGCAAAGGAGAATGAAGAACACCAAAGACACAAGAAAAGTATTAGCCCAAGAGACAGAAAGGGCCACATAAACCTGAGACCAGAAAAACCAGACGGTGCTCGACTACCACCAATGACCGCCCTGACAGGGAGCACAACACAGAGTCCCTGACGGAGCAGGCGAAAAGTGGGGAGAATAACTCAAATTCTAGTAAAAAGACCAGACTTAATGGTCTGACTGAGACTGGAGGGACCCTGGAAGACATGGCCCCCGGACTCTCCGTTAGCCTAGAACTAAAACCATTCCCGAAGCCAACTCTTCAGACATAGATTAGACTGGACTATAAGACATAAAATGATATTCATGAAGAGGCTGCTTCTTAGCTCAAGTAGATACATGAGACTAAATGGGCAGCTCCTATTCGGAGGTGAGATGAGAAGGCAGAAAGAGACAGGAGCTGGTTGAATGGACATGAGAAATCCAAGGTGAAAAGGAGGAGTGCACTGTCACATTATAGCGAGAGCAACTAAGGTCACATAACAATGTGTGTATAAATTTTTGTATGAGAAACTAACTTGAACTGTAAACTTTCACTTAAAGCACAATAAAGAAAAAAATAGAGCATTTTTATCACCCAAAATGCTCCCTTGTGTCCCTTCCCAGTCTATACCACCCTCCCAAGAAGTAATCATTAGTCTGATTTTTTTCATCAAAGATTAGTCCTGCCTGTTTTTGAACTCCATATAAATGGAATCATACAGTATGTACTCTTTTGTGTCTGGTTTATTTTCTCAACATTTTATCTTAGTACTACTATTCTTACAGTTGAAAACTGCTTCTTGGAACAATCAGATATTAATACAATGAAACGTGTAGCTTCTAAAACTGAAAAATAGATACACAGTATCAATACATGGAAATGTATATATTAAATAACACTAGAAGAAAAGTAGAATACAAAATAATTTACTTTCTGCAACAATAAAATATGCTATTATATATCCAAAGATACAAAATTAATTGGTATGGAATAAAATGTTAATGCTTAAATGATAATTCTAACAGTGTTTAAGTTAAAAAACAAATTATCTGTATTTAAGCAAAGGTTCATCTTAAGGTTGATTTAAACTATCTTAAGCACTTTATTGGAAACAGACTCATTTATCTTTAGTTAGCTGTTAGCACAGAATTATAGTGGTTCACAAAATTCAACACCTCAAAATCTTTTCTTTACCTGGTTATGATAAGCCGATCCAAATTAATTCTCTGTTGCTTCGCAATCCATGCCGTCCGATACAACTTTTCAGCTGTCTTAAGTACATCTGCATTGAGCCTCTGAATGAGTTGTTTCTCAGAGTTTACATATAAGCGTTCCTGCTTGAGGTGATGAGCCAGAGTATGAATATCTAATTTCACCATCTTCAAATGTGGTAAAGGTACAAAGACTGATCACTAGGAGTCAAAAGACAAATTAAAAAGAAAATTTATGTCACTTAAATTGTTTTCCAAAATCAAAAGAGGTAGAACACATTAAGAATTGAACTACATTTAATACCATTTTTAACTCCAATTCTGAAAGTCTATATATTTTTTATTACAGAAGTATTACACGTTCAATATAGAAAAATTGGGAAATACAGATAAGCAAGAAAGAAACAAATAAAAGCTCCTAATAAGACTACAAGGAGCAACAGTGGCACAGTGGTTAAGTGCTCGACTGCTAACTGAAAGGTCGGCAGTTCAAACCCACCAGCTACTCTGCAGGAGAAAGATGTGGTAGTCTGCTTCGGTGAAGATTTACAGCCTTGGAAAGCCTATGCAGCAGTTCTACTCTGTCCTGTAGGGTCACTATGAATCGACTTGATAGCAACAGGTTTGATTTTTTAATAACACCACTACTCAGAGACAGCCACTGTAAATGCCTTGTATATATCCTTCAAGTCAGTGTCTATTTATTAACCCTGGGTTATCCTTAACTGCAATTTTTCACAATGCAATCAATCAACATATCCTGTGGACTCTATCTTCAAAATATCTATCTCAAATCTGACTACTTCTCATCACCTCTATCACTAGTCCACCATCATCTCTTACCTGGAGATCTATAATCACCATCTTCTAACTGATTTCCCTGCTTCCTTTCTTGTACTGGTAGAGTCTGTTCTTGACATAGCAGTTAGTTATCCTTTAAACTTAAGTCAGATAACTTTATTCCCCTACCAGAAACCATCCAAAGGCTTATTTTACACTTAGAATGAAATCTGAGGGTCCTATATGAGCTATCCCTAGCTACTTCTCCAACCTCATCTCCTCCTACCATTCTATCCTCGCTCAACAGCTCCAGACACACTGGCCTCTTTAACTGCTCCTTTAACAGGCCAAGCACACTCCTCCCTCAAAGGCTCTGCAATTGCTGATTCATCTGTCTGGAAGGATAGTTCCTCCACCTCACTCAGGTCTCTGCTCAAATGTCTATTTAGAAAGGCCTTCTCAGTCAGCTCATTTCTGAAATAGAAAATAGCACTTCCTATTCCCTCTTCCTTTTTTTTTTTAAGCACTTACCCCTATCTAGCATTATATTATAAACATCTATTTTCACGTTCATCATGCTTATTGTATGTCTCCCTACTAAAAGGCAGCAAACACCACCAGGGCCAAAGCCTTCTCTGCTTTGCTCACTCACAGCTATACCTTCGGAGCCTAGGAGAGGGCCTGGTTCGCAACAGGAGTTGAATAAATATTTGCCAAAGGAATGAATGAATTCACATGATTCTTATTTATCTAGTAGCTAAACAAACTGATACAAATAGCACACACATTTTAAAGTATTACTATTTAAGCTATACCCTTGAACCTAGGATGCCTACCAAACCACAAATGTTTTATAACAATAAAAGTATGTGTGGGATAGATAACAGAACACAATGTTGACAGCAAACAGTCATTAAGCTAGAAAATTATTTCTCATTAAGAATTAAACATTATGGCAGCAGCTGGAAATATATTTGAAGTCACTTTACTAAATAAATAGATTTAACAATTTTTAATTGTTTGATTTCAGCAATTCCATCAAACTTGAATTTAACTGCTTTCAAAAAACACTTTCTTGTACCCTTATCAATTCCCTAGTAAACTATGCAAAGGTTTTATTCTAAATTTCCTGCACTGTTAAGGTTCCCATATCACTCTCCTCTCAATCTACCAGCATGTCTACTTCACTAAAATGGTTTCCTGTTGGATTAGTCACAAAAACATCCGTGTATTCAAAAAACAAAAAATTGGTGACATGTATACATATACATACATAATCTTATTAATTCAGTCTACAGAAAATGCATATATGATTTTGTAGACTTCTACACGAGAGCTCTGATACCCCCTAGGGGGATCTAGTCCACAGACTGAGAAGAGAATTGTTGCTGAGGTGGTTTTAATTATGGGAGGTATCATAGTTAATCAAAACAATACTGAACTGAGGAAATGCTCTCCATCATTAGAAATGCAAATCAAAAGTACAACGAAATATCATCTCACCTCGACATTACTGGCATGAATCAAAAAAACCAGAAAATAACAAATGCTGGAGAGGTTGCAGGGAGACTGGAACTCTTTATGCATTGCTGGTGGAATGCAAAATGGTACAACCACTATGGAAAATGGCATGGCACCTCTTTAAAAAGCTAGAAATATAAATACCATACAATCCAACAATCCCACTCCTAGGACTATATCCTAGAGAAATAAGAGTCACCACACAAATGGACATATGCACACTCATGTTCATTGCAGTATTCTTCACAATAGCAAAAAGATGGAAACAATCTAAGTGCCCATCAACAGAAAAATGGATAAACAAATTATGGTACATATACACAATGGAATGCTATGCAACAATAAAGAACAATGATGAATCCGCAAAACAGCTCACAACATGGATGAATCTGGAGGACATTATGGTAAGCGAAGTCAGTCAATCACAAAAGGACAAATATTGCATGAGACCACAGTTATAACAACTCAAGGAAAGGTTTACACACAGAAAAAAACAATCTCTGATGGTTACAGGGGGGCGGGGGTGGACAGTGGAAATCACTAACTAGACAGTAGACAAGTGTTAACTTTGGTGAAGGGAAAGACAACACACGATATAGGGAAAGTCAGCACAACTTAACCAAGACAAAGTCATTGATGCTTCCCAGACACATCTAAACACCTTGAGGGACCAAGTTACTGCGGCTGAGGGCTCGGGACCACAGTCTCAAGTAACATCTAGGTCAACTGGCATAACATAGTTCATAAAGAAAATGTTCTACATCCTACTTTGGCGAGTAGCATCTGGAGTCTTAAAAGCTTGTGAGCAGCCATCTAAGTTACATCTATTGGTCCCATCTCATCTGGAGCACAGGATAATGAAAAAAAGCAAAGACACAAGAAAAATATTAGTCCAAAGGACTAATGGACCACACAAACCACAGCCTCCACCAGCCTGAACCTGAAAGAACTAGATGGTGCCTGGCTACCACCACCAACTGCTCTAACAGGGATCACAATAGAGGGTTCCAGACAGAGCAGGAGAAAAATGTACAACAGAATTCAAGTTTACAAAAAAACACCAGGCTTACTGGCCTCACAGAGACTGGAGGGACCCCTGAGACTATGGCCAGTGGACACCCTGCTAACTCAGAACTGAAGCCACTCCCAAAGTCTACCTTCCAGCCAAAGATCAGACAGGTGTATAAAACAAACAACAATACACATGAGGAACGTGTTTCTTAGTTCATTCAAGTATATAAGACCAAATGGGCAACACATGCTCAAAAGCAAAGATAAGAAGGCAGGAAGGGACAGGAAAACTGGATGAATGGACACAGGGAACCCAGGGTGGAAAGAGGGAGAGTGCTGACACACTGCAGGGACTGCAACCAATGTCACACAACAATCTGTGTATAAATTTTTGAATGAGAAACTAATTTGCACTGCAAACTTTCAACTAAAATACAATTAAAAAAAAAAAACCGAAATGAGCTTTTAAAGACCTGTCTGCTTCATTAATTAATTCTATTACTCTGGGTACAAAATGTATATCCTTTGAATTTCTCTCATCCATAGAACAGGGACACAGTATCTGGATTTATTGTGTGTCTAGTACAAGCAATGTGTTAGGTATTAGGGATACAAAAAAGAATAAAACTTAGTGTGCTCAAGAAGTTTCTAATCTAGTAAAATGAGGCAAACATGCAAGCAAATAGCTGCCCAAAAATGTTATGGGCGTTATGCTAGAAGTCTATACAATGCAGAGTAGGAATAAAAGACAAGGAATGACTGAGGAGGTGGATACCTGAACCTAGTCTTAAAAAACAAGTATTTGCAAAAAAAAAAAAGACAAGTGTTTGCCACACATAAAGAAGATGACAGGTAGGGGTAAAATTTCAAATAGAGGGAGCAACCAAGCAAGGGCAGAAAGATGTTATACTGGTATTATAGTTACACAGGAGAATGTTTTATTTTTAAAAGATGTATGCTCAAGTATTTAGAAGTGAAGTGTCAAGGTATCTGCAACTTGTATATGGTTCGGCAAAAAACAGATAAAATGCAGCAATATGTACACAACTGTTGAATCTGAGTGGTGAGTACACAGTGATCGTTGTTATCAACAACAGTTTCTGTATATTAGAAAATTTTAATAATAAAAAGTTAGGGGAAAATACGTTGTGTATTTCTTGCTGCTTTAATTCAATGTAATTCAACAAGTTTATTGTAAGTTTTGCTGGAGCCGAGCCAGGGTCCCTAATCTCAAGGAGTCACAGTCTAATTACAACCAAACTACTGTACAAGATAAAGAAGGAGCATGTTTTCATGACACAGCAAAATATGAATCAATTTATGCAACTTAGAAATACATTTTCAAATATAGCTTCACTTAAAAAATTTAACACATGAATAAAGTAGTGGTCCAACTAATCTAAACAAGAATTCACCTTCTAAACTTTTCAATAGTCCCAAATGTCTTCAAAGACATTAATAAACGTGCTAAGCATCTTTTTTTCTTTAATCAAGTTCAAGAATTATAAACTTTGTTGCTTTCTTTTCTAAAATAAGCTGGTCAGAATGCTGTCAAAAACAAGTAGTGGCTTACCTACAAAAAGCAGTACTTTAAAAAATATCATTGTATAAACGTATAATACTTTTATTACCACACAAAGACAGGAAAGTGTCAGTAAGCCACAAGATACAATCCAAGAGATCTAAAATAGGTATTCAGACTTACATTTTTGCCCAGTTTTAAATGTATACTCTGAACATTGTTTTGTACAATATGTAGCACCTGCCAGATTATAGTTATATGTTCTCTCTCTCTATCTCTGCCACTAGACTGTAAACACTAAGGGAAAGGAATAACTCAACTGTGCGTCCTAGTATAGCTGATGGCAAGTGAGAGCAGTTCAAAAATG